CATTTTATTAACTTTATCCTCAGAAAAAAAATTCATTATTATATATTTTTCATACAATTCTATTTTAAAATACTTGTATGTGTATGCTGAAATGAATAAAGAAATTTTACATTGAAACTATCTTTATATTTTTTAACAGTTTTCTTTTAAAGTATAAACTTTTCATCTTGTTTTTACGACATTAAAAAAAAATTTTTACATTCACCTTTTCTTGAAAATTTTGTACCACCTTTATAACAAACTTTTTTTTCCTTATCTGTTTGAAAATGTTTTTCTGTACAAAGGCCTTAATGTGTCCCTTTTTTTAACTTCACTTAATACATAGTGGATTTCTTGTTAAGTAGTAAGTTTATTTTTTTTTTCGTTTTTTTTTGTTTGGTGGTCAAGGATGTCAAGGGTTAAGGGCTTACTGCTTTTACCTAGTTAAAATATTGATACTAGTGTCTGTCTTTTTGCTAAATTTGCTAAATTTGTCGTGTCGATCGACGTAGTGGAACAGAAACGACGTTCGGTGATGAAGTCCGAGGTAGTGACGGTCCTGGAGAAGGTGGTTGTGGTGACGGCACTGGACTTTCTGGCGTTGAGTTGTCTTCCTGATGCTCGGGTGCATCTGCGTGCTCATAGAATTGCGTTAGGTTTTTTTCCATCTGCACTGCCGGAGTTTTACGGTCTATAAGACTTGGTGCTGCCTTTTGGATTTCCTTACTCTCTTGACAAATCTGCATTTGGTCGACGTGCCGTTTGAAGCGTTTACTATCTAATTCAATCTTATAATGCAAGTCGCCTCTTTTGCGTGTAATGAGTCCAGGTATTCAGTTATCTGCTCGAGTGTTGTTGGATAAAAAGTAGACGCGCTGTCCTTCTTGGAACACTCGAAACGCTGGATTAAATTTTGCTCGCTGCTTCTCCGTGACTAGTACGGGTGCTGTAGCTCCATGTTGCTTAATTAGTAGTAATACAATGCGTATAATCAAGTCACAAATCAAATTAAAGCCGATAAACAGGCTGTTTGCAACTTACTCACACCACATACTTCAATGCATGGGATGCGCGTCAGTGAACGTAACGATGGGAAATACAACGAAAATTCTTAACCTATACGTCATTGACGGTGAGTAGGACAGTCTGCTCGGTCAAGAGTGGCTTGCAGAGCTTTCGCACGAAATCGATTGGGATACGATTTTCACTCCTCAGCGCGTGCATAACCTAAATGCAACTTTGTCAGAGCTGTCTAAAGTACAAACTTGGCGCTTAGAGGAGCTACTGCAAAGACATAATGATATTTTCAGTGCGACTGCGGGTAAGCTGTTGGGCCTGCCTGTTAAAATGCACTTGAAACAGGGAGCCACACCTGTGTTTGCAAAGGCGAGAGACATTCCTTATGCTCTGAGAGATGTATATGCTAAAGAGATAAATAAAAAACTCGTAACAGGGCAGTACACTCATGTTGATCATTCAGAATGGGCTTCGATAACGCACGTAGTAATGAAAAAGAGTGGCCAAATACGTATTACAGGTAATTTCTAAACTACGTTAAATTCAAGGATCGTCATCGACGAGCATCTGATTCCCAAGCAAGAGGATAAAGTTAATAAAATGCATGGAGCCAAGATTTTTTGTCTCTTAGACATCACAGATGCTTATACATATCTATCTGTTGACGAGGAATTCAGTCAAGCCCTGACAGTTAATACACCAACTCATGGCCTAGTTAGACCGACGAGAGCAGTTTACAGTGCAGCGAATATTCCTGCAATTTGGCAACGGAGATTGGAATCAGTTATTAAGGACATTCCTCATGTGTTGAACTTCTTCGACGATTTAATAATTTTTTGCGCTGATTCATTTGACGATCTCATGCAGACCTTGGGCACAGTTATAAATGTGCTTTACAAAAATGGTCTCCGTTTGAACCAGCAAAAATGCACTTTTGCAGCACCTTCTATAGAATTTATCGGTCACAGATTGGATGCTTCAGAAATACATCAATCAGATAAGCATATTCAGGCAATCCTGCGAGCATCAAAGCCATCAAGTGCGCAAGAGTTAGAGCTTTTTATTGGTAAAGCTACATTCTACAATGCATTTATTCCAGATCTTGCCACAAAAGCTCGACCTGTTTGTGATATGCTGTTGAAAGAATCTTTTCAGTAAACCGAGGGAGCAGAGAAGGCATATCTCGATATTAAAATCATTCTGGTGTCACCTAAAATACTAATGCCATACAATCCAGCACTGCCTTTGGTACTGGCGACAGATGCAAGCAAGGTAGGACTTGGAGCTGGGTTGTCACACCACCTAGCTGATAAAAAAGAGCATCCGATAGCCTGTGCAGCTCGTACAATGACTGCCACCGAAAAAAAAATAACCACAGATAGATAAGGAGGCTCTGGCTATTGTTTGGGCAGTAAGAAAGTTTTTCTGCTACTTATATGTTCGTCATTTCTACTTGATTACAGATCACAAGCACTTTACGCAAATTTTACATCCGGAAAAGTCGCTGCCGATGCTCTGAATGACCAATTACGCTGATTATTTGGCACATTTAATTACATGGTAGAATTCAAACCAACAAAGGCCTATGCAAATGCAGATTATTGCTCAAGAATTCCGGGATCTTCCCTGAAGGAGGAAGAAATTCCAAGTATTGATGAATTCAATCAATTTGTAATTCACCAAATTGCTCAATTACCAGTTAAAGCTAAAACGATTGCAAAAGAAATAAAAAAAGATCAGAATCTTGGGAGAATTGTTCAGTTGCTTTCCGGTGGCCAGGACTTAAATCACCATCGATACTAACCTCCAGAGGATAGCTATACTTTGTCACGTGACTTCTTAATGTTTGAGCATCGAGTGGTAATACCACCCTCACTTCTTCAGGCTATTCTAAAAGATATTTACACAGCCCACATAGGCATGGTTAAAATGAAAGGACTAGCACGTTCATTCGTGTATTGGCCAGGGAAAGATGCTGACATTAAGGACTTGGCCAGAACTTGTACCGAGTGTGCAAAGCAAGCTTACAACCCACCGAATTTCGAGAACATCTCTGGGGGTATCCGAAAGGTCCATTGGAGCGCATCAACATCAACTACGCAGGACCTGTAGCAAACAAAATGCTGCTGATCATCGTCGATGCATACAGCAAATAAATTAAAGTCAAAACAACGAGCTCAACTACGAGCGCAGCAACTATAGCTATACTAAAATTATTCGCTGCGTGTGAATCCCCTGTTACTTTTGTTTCAGATAATAAAGGCAGTTTGTCTCAGAAGAATTTAAAAATACCATAAGTTGACAGCCCCGTACCACCCTGCGACCAATGGCCAGGCTGTAAGGTATGTTTAGACTGTCAAAGAGGCACTGATCAGGATGAGATCTACTCCAGGGTCACTGCAGCAAGATTTAAGTGAATTTGTAAGGCAGTATAGAAAGGCTTCTCACTCGATAACGAGTCAACTACCAGCACGGCTTTTCTTAAAGCGGCTGCTTCGCACACGACTGGATTTGGTGAGACCTGACTCAGCACCCGTACGAGTCACGGAGAAGCAGCAAGCAAAATTTAATCCAGCGTTTCGAGTGTTCCAAGAAGGACAGCGCGTCTACTTTTTATCCAACAACACTCAAGCAGATAAATGAATACCTGGACTCATTACATGCAAAATAGGCGACTTGCATTATGAGATTAAATTAGACAGTAAACGCTTCAAACGGCACGTCGACCAAATGCAGATTCGTCAAGAGAGTAAGGAAATCCAAGGGGCGGCACCAAGTCTTATAGACCGTAAAACTCCAGCAGTGCAGATGGAAAAAAACCTAACGCAATTCTATGAGCACGCAGATGCACCCGAGCATCAGGAAGACAACTCAACGCCAGAAAGTCCAGTGCCGTCACCACAACCACCTTCTCCAGGACCGTCACTACCTCGGACTTCATCACCGAACGTCGTTTCTGTTCCACTACGTCGATCGACACGACAAATTTAGCAAATTTAGCAAAAAGACAGACACTAGTATCAATATTTTAACTAGGTAAAAGCAGTAAGCCCTTAACCCTTGACATCCTTGACCACCAAACAAAAAAAAACGAAAAAAAAAATAAACTTACTACTTAACAAGAAATCCACTATGTATTAAGTGAAGTTAAAAAAAGGGACACATTAAGGCCTTTGTACAGAAAAACATTTTCGAACAGATGAGGGAAACAAAGTTTGTTATAAAGGTGGTACAAAATTTTCAAGAAAAGGTAAATGTAAAAATTTTTTTTTAATGTTGTAAAAACAAGATGAAAAGTTTATACTTTAAAAGATGACTGTTAAAAAATATAAAGATAGTTTCAATGTAGAATTTCTTTATTTATTTCAGCATACACATACAAGTATTTTGAAATAGAATTGTATGAAAAATACATAACAATGAATTTTTTTTCTATCAATGTTTAAATTTTTTACTAGTATTTATAGAAAGCAAATCATTTTATTTTGTCTGAGATAATGAGAAATTTCTTATGAAAATTTTACA